GTTACCTTTTCATCATGCATGGATCTCATTGCTAACATTCATCCAGGCTTATCCCGATGTGGCTGCGCAAGGGCTGAACTTCCTTATCGTCTACCAGGGCCAGACAGGACACGTTGGCGGCACATCCTGTTCTTCACCCACATTCACCTCGTTCGTTTCCATGCTGAATGACGCACGCATCAGTGATGGCAAAACCCCTCTCGGCTTCCTCAACCCTTTCTTGTACTCAAACGGTTACACTGCGCTGAATGATATCACCGCGGGCAACAACCCAGGATGTGGAACTGAGGGCTTCAATGTATGTCTTATCTGTGCACCCTCGAGTCGTGTTATTGATATGATGTCCATGCGCAGGCCACTATTGGATGGGATCCTGGTGAGTGCACATACTAGGCAAGTCGTTTTCTATTCCGGTGTTGACAGTACCTGCAGTTACTGGCTTTGGGACACCCAATTTCGAGAAGTTGAAGGCACTGGTATTGAGCATGCCCTAATAAGACATGCTACATAACGGGGATCTATGATATATCTAAGTATACATCATGGATGTAATAAGGTCACAAACCTAGAGACTATTTACGGGAGACAGCATATACTGTTTTCCGAACCGCGGCTTATTAGCGCAGCCAATTGTGCTTTGCTCCACACCGTGTGCGCACCAGTAAGATCTAGAAATCCCACCTTAGGTTCTCATATGGGCATGGCGTTTAGTAGATGCCGGGTATGAGCCGGTATCTTACTACCTTTGCCCACCTCTGCCATTCGTCTCCAAACATTGACTTCACGACTTCCTCCTCTTGGTTGATCCTACGCACGAGGCTTGTCACAGTAATCGTTCTCTCCACCAGCCATGCCAACATAACCGCTTTCAGTCCAGGGATACCCCATACCCCTGATTGTCTAAGCCATGAAGTCCCCGATCCGTGCAACATCACTATACCGATGTACTGCACAACGACTGCTGAATAGGCTGGATGGCGTACGATCGAGTATGGTCCAGTCGTGATAAGCTGGTGCTTTTTTTGGGCAGTGAGCTCGAATGTGAAAAAAACGACCAAGGGTGCGAAAACACGACCAGCGGAGGTATCCTCCCACGGCAACAACTGCTGTGCCAAGAAGGAAAGAAGGAGTAATCGGCACGTCCTGGATCCTTGAAAGAAGTGGACCGACTGTGTTTTGTATCACGCTGGGAAGTGTGTTGGGGCCTGCCATGCGAGAGGCGGCTATAGCGATTTCTGCGAGAGAAACAGCCCAGTAAACTGCCTGGGCAGAGTTCCATCAAAGGGATTGCGGACAACCCATGGAAAAGGTAGGTACCTTTGTGATCGGGAGCCCGTATTTGACGTGCTGAATGATGACCCACTCATTAAAAGTATCATGGACAACCTCATTCTTAGAGGCGACCTGGGGGGGTGTGAACGCTACGTGCACAGCGATAGCAGATGAGAGAATGAGTGGGATTTTGAGGAGTGACATGTTCATAAAGAACCCTTGACGTATTTGGTTGCTTTTATCCTACAGTCCATCTGCGAGCACAGCAGGGGCATGTGAGTCACAGAATACCCAGAAACTGAATAGAATGCGCTGTCAGTCTGATGATCAAAGTATCACTGAAGTTCCTACCCAATCTGATGAGCGCGGATATACTATATCTGCACCTTGTGACAAGTTTTCAATTCTTTTACACCTTCATTTGTCAAAACTTTGCGGGCTTCCTCGTGCGGGCCGTATCAGTATGACAGATGTCCTCGGCATACCGATTATGCCGAACGAGAATCTCAAATTTTATGGAATCAGAGATCTTGACATGGCTGAGAGTTTGACTCAACGTCCATAGTGAAAACTAGATTGTTCATATGATCACAGTATGAACAACATAGAATTGTGGGAACGAGCCTTCTCATTTTCGGAAAGTTCAACGCAAAAAGAAACCAGGGGGGTATCGCTAGGGCCGCGGAGGAGGGGACTCCTGTTGAGGTTTAGTCGCTAAGAACCCAAGGAATATGATGCTTTACTCGGTGAAGCCTATCCCTCATAGTCTATAGATGCGCACGTACGAGCAACTATGGTCTTTGATCAATAGCTAATGCATATGGTAATAAACATAAACAACACGGCACTTCTTTTCTCACCCATGACATATACACATGACGCCCAGGTACTTCCCCGACTCAGCAGTGGATCAAACGCATTATACATCACCCTTATCTCGTCATTCTTATGAACAACCCTATATTCACCGCTGCACACGTAGTAACCCCAGCAACAGCGTAACACATCAGACTCAGAGGCCCTTGCCATGAGTTGCGAGAGCCATGCCCGTTTAAATTTCGAATGAATTGCGAAAACAAACTGAGGCACTCAATTTACAGCAAGCATCAGTGTATTTACCATCAAGGCATATACTGCTCCGAGTGCTCGTACGAAGAAATCCCACAAGCAACATCGTGGCGATCGACTTCATATCATGCTATATAATCTCGCATCTCAGTTCGCTCAGCATGTTCCCGAGTTGGCAAACTTTCGTGAGGCTATCGCGCGGAACGATTCGAAGGATGATGTCGAATTCCTACGCAGCTTCTGACAATTCATTCCCACCACAAACTACGAATCTTATAAGCCATTCATAGCAAGGTCTTTTGGTACCCTTGCAAAGAGGCTGACGTCAAGAACATGTTTGCCCCTGACTGCCCTACCTCTTTGCCATGTCCAGTATGACATCTGGGAGAACAACGAAGATATCCCCAACTTATGGACCTCCCCTGCAATATCCAGCGCATCCCCCGCCAGAGGGTACAACCTTATCACCAACTTCTTTGAAATATTAGCAAGTCCTGCGAGGACGGTCAGAGCTCCAAGGCGGTGACGGTCTGCTCGATGAGCATTGGTTATCTGCGAATGGTAATGAAGCGGGACGATAGACTCAATTTGTGAGGTAAGTTCGTCTCATTACCTTCCCTTGTCCATGCTGATCTCTAGGTAACTTTTAGTCTGGTCAAAACAGATTCATATGTGGTCTCTTTAGTCAAATGCTATCGCGCTTCCTTTGTGCTGAATGCACTATTTGCGCTCGCAGACCGTCGGGTAACAGTTCGCTTCCTCTTTGCCAATATATTCGTCAATTTCTTGCAGTACGTAGAGGATGAATGGCCTCTACTTGTCGGCTGTATCGAGAAGGGTATCATCCCGGATGTCGAAGACCTCGGCCATTTGCGCACCTTTAGAGGTCATATTTTTGTTGATCATTACATTCAGCTCACTGTTCTCTCAGAAACATCTTATTCCCAAACCTCGTGCCGCCGAACTTCGCGAGATTGGGCCTCCTGGCATTCAGGGCTGGGCGGTCCTAGCAACTCAAAAGTCCCGTCATACGTGGGGCTTAGGTTCGCCACTTCCTGTGGCACGGTCCCTGTATTCTTACCATACGTCTGGTCCCCGTTGGAGTGGGGCTTGCCCATGGAGTGTCCGGGGTCCCGGCGGTGTTCCGAGGTCGTAGCCACTCGTATGCATCGACTGTAGTAGCTTAGTCATCACCTTGCCTCACCCATCGCACCTCCATTGTGTGAGGCTTGAAGTCACTTCTCTCAAGTGGGCCTCTAGGCCCACTCCACCGTACTCCGTCCATGTCCTCAATTAAGAATTTGGTGGACGATCGAACTCGAGATATTTCCAACAGGCTCCAAATGCAATGATCATGCCGATCCCGTCCAGGCTGGCATCTGTCATGAAAGCAAAGGCTGCTTGCTGGCGGATCTGGTCGTTGACATCCCGGAAAGGATTTTGGGCAGGGAGAAATCGTTTCTTTGGTTTTTCTGGCTTGTTCTCCACCAGTGGAATCACCTTTCGACGTCCGACCTTGCGGTTACCGTTGCGCTCAGTCTCCACATGCTGCAGGACCTGAGCAAAATCGGGGATAACCCAACTTTTTTGTGGCTCTTTGCGCGTGTCGATGATGTACTGATGTGATAGGACCTATTGCGGTGCAATGTTGCACGCCACTGTATGGGTGTTCGAATTGCAAAATATCCAGTCCTTAATTGCGATAACCCATACTGGGTACCACAGGATCTCCTGGGATCTTCACGTGCTGCTGCGACGGCAGCGATCAGTGCGACGACCTTCGACATCAGGTGTTGGTATATAGTTGCAGGTGCTTGATGAACAAGGGGTTGGTGGGTCTGTCGATGAACAGTTTGGTGCCGGAGCATCTTGTCCCCAATGGTGTATTGTGACTTCGCACGTTGTCTACTATCGGTCGGAAAGGAAAGGGCTAACTCAGTGCTAGACGCCAACCGTCCTGTGGATGGTCCAGAAGACGCAGTGATGGATCTACCGGAAGACGACACTGAGGCAACATGAGGAGGTAGCAAAAGTGCTGGTGCTGCCTTAGTGGCCTCTTGTTTAGCCAACGCTTCCATTGATTTGTAATAACTAGGAGAGTTGAGCACAGGTTGTGTAATCGAGGAGTATGAGGGGCGACGCGATGGTAGGAGGTGATTCGGATCGTCTGACGGTGGTGCTCCTAGAAGTGGAGCACGTGGATGCAGGGCTACTTGATCGGCAGCGCGGTATGATGCAACATCTTGAGTGTATATATATGCTGAATTTGCAGCTCGGGACAACGCAGCATCGGGAGTTCGCAGAGGTGCCGGATTCACAGTGCGGTATGATGCATAGCTCCTGGCAGGGAAGGGGAAATACATTGCTTGTCAAGCACTGTTGTGAATCGAGGGCTTGGTAATGTCACATTTCTTCCATTGGGTTCAACTCTTAACCTTGATAGCGGCCTGTGCAGTTATTTGGTATTGGTGAGACATTGTGGATCCTCAATTTAAGCATTGTCTATTGATGCCCATGCACCACCAATTTAGTGTACATCACATGAAGGATCCACACGATCTCTCACCGTTCTAACATGTTTACTACTCATGCATTGACAATATTAATTGCGCTGTGGGATGGCTGTGGCATATCATTGTGACTGTCCACAATTCGATCTGTGGCTGTGCCACATATATAACGTTGGACGCCTATTCAGTGTTGTGCACGTTTAACTTATCACGCTCAATTGGAGCCACTCGAGGGACCAATGTGACTTGACCTTACCTCTCTATCGCAAAACATGTCTTCTCTTTTATCGAAGTCGTTCGAAGCTCTCAAGGTAGATATCTTCTCCTATGATTTATGTTCCGTCTAATGGCTTCAAAAGATTACGACCCCACAACATACCGGGGATTCCATGAGACGACGCCCGTTCAAACTTGTGCGTCCGAAAAGGCAGCAAATGAACCCGTACACAGGTCTTCCTCATGTCCAATATTACGGATATGCAGTCTCTCCTGAGTGGCTTATTGAATCTGCGGAGCGACATTGCTTAGAAGCGTTACCCTCTCGAAATGCCAATGACTACGAGGGAACTACCATAACACAAGCATACGAGCTCATTCGGCATTTGGCGGGCATCTACAATCTAGCGTGCAAATTTTTTTTCCAATCCCAAGGGTCACTCCGTGCCTCCCGAGTGGGTTGCCGCTATGTACGAACTCGATACCTAGTGCTGACGGCCATGACGGAGAGTGTTAAGATGCCAACAAAGGGGCTTGACCAGCCAAATGATATATCTAGGCAAATCTGAAACATAGCGCTCCACAGCGGTATACAGAAGCATGGGGGCCTCGGGCATCATGATTTGCGGACGTGGCTGCATTAAATGGAATGAGTCATGCGTGCAAGTAGGAGTGCTGTGACACTAAGTAGCTACAGACTATGGCACAGCCAGTTTACTAAGTGTGAACGGTGTCAAGCCTAGATTTCGGGAAATGCAGAAACGATCGATCAGTGATACTACTCTGATCAAGTCGACCTCACTGTGACTCGTTTCTTAGAAGCTCAAGATAACCATTCTGAGGCTCCTTCTTCATTATATGGACTTGTGGAACTACTTACCGTAGGCCTATTTGAATAGCTTACATATATCCGGGTTTGATTTTACTGAATGTCCTAGGAATCAGATAACTCAAGAACTGCCAGTCTGTGAGTAAGGTTGAGTCGTATCGCTTCCAGTGCATTCCCAATTAGTGAAACGGCCCTGCAGATGAAGACGACGCACCGCCCGCTTTCTCCACAATCGATGACGTGCTGCGTCATACCGTTCGCGTGACCGTCTCGATGTTGCTGGGGAACACAACTTTGATCTTAGCACGCCACACAAATCAATCGTAAATTCGATGTATATTCTAGGCATGACATTGCAATCGAATGTACTGTCGACTCTCGAAAATATACCGAAACTTGGGAACTCTGACACACCTAGGATCGAATTCAAGACCTCGATTGAAGTTTAGACACGAAAAACAATGATGCTTGATGTAACAGATGGGCAACAACACTTGAAAACGCGCAGCTTTCAGTATACACCAGGTATTATCAGATACTTCACTTTTCTCGCCCATGCCTCCCACTCTTCTCTGAAGGCTGAATGCATCATTTTATCTTCTCTCTTCATTCTTCTGAACAACGCTGCATTCACTACTGCACACGCGGCGCCCCCAGCGATGACAAGCGGCAACACTCCAGGTATCCGCGATACACCAGAGGCCCTTAACCACGAGTTGCGGGAGCCATGCAGAATGATGACTCCGATGCATACCATCATCATCCCTGAATAAGAAGGGTGGCGAACAATAGCGTAGGGTCCGGTTGTGATGAGCTGATGATCTTTGCGCACGCTGAGTAGAAACGTGAAATGGCGACCGAGGACTCGGTAGCACACCCAGCGGATGCAACCACCACTGATCACGAGGCCACTACCCACAAGAAAGGAGGGAGAGATAGGGACATCTGCGAATTTCCTGAGAGCCTCGGATGTCGCCCTCAAAACTGGCGGTACTTTTGAAGAATCGATGCGATGAGCTATCATAGTAGCTATTTCGGCCAATGCCCCCGCCCAGTACAACCCCTGGATAACCTTATTCAGTGAGATTACAAACACACGATGTCCAGACGAACGTATATTGTTTGCGAGGCGTATCTCGCTTTTGTAAAATAGGATCCGATGGTACTCGGACGAAATAATTCCTCGGTGGATGCGGTATGGGGAGGTGTGACTGCTACCTGGAGAGCGACAGCTGATGAGAGAACTAGAGGTATTCTGAGGAGCGACATGTTGAGGAGACTTGGTTGCGAGTCTGATGCAGCTGTTGTCTTATAGCAGGGACAAATGTAATAGCATGGCACCGTATGATTTGACCGGGATTGAACGGATAGCTATGGAGTGACAGCATGAGCTTCGTGATTGGCCATGAAGTCAGAGTGCAGACTGGTGGTCAGGACTCAGAGTCTACGTGGTCGTGGAGTGCCACGTCAAACATGGAATCCTTTCTTGATCCCTCGTCATTCTCACCAGGCTGCCAGCTCCCCCGAAGTAAGTAGTTGACAACGGTTTTGCTCTTAAATACTTTTCACCTACCTTGATGGAAATTGAGCATGATATTTCCAGACGTCCGGTGTGGCCAGGCGACACCGAACCTGTTTATCGGTGCCGTAACACAGCTTGGAATAGCGCCGCTAGTCTCGTCAACACTCGTCTCGGAAAACTGTACTTGAAGGCGGCTGGTGGGAATGAACGTCAAAAAGGCCCCCAAAGCACTCCTTGTCAGTGTCGGCGTGTAAGGTGACCCGTCAGTTTAAGGACCGCTTTACTACCTCTCTTCTCCCACCTTATCCAAAGGCACTCTCCACTACCAAAATAATCGGTGACATTGCATTTCGACGCTGGTACAATAAGAGCAGATGTCACCTCGCCAAGATGGCCAAGTTCCCAATCAAGTGTACTGTCATCATTTATGGTCGTCCAGGCTCAACCTTCTCCTCATGCACTCTACATATCCGAGATCTCGCTTGCCATCTCATACCAACTCGAGGATGACAGGAAAGCGCTAGCGCGTTTTGCTCGTTGCTGTCGTGCATCTTTAGGACCTGCTCTCGATGTCCTGTGGTCTCGGGTGCCGTCCTTTTCGCCGTTCATTCCCCTCTTGCCCCTCAGCGTGAAGTCCTTATGGGTGAGTATACGGTAATCCTTGCATTGTTCATCTTGTCATACTTAAGGATATATACATAGGACCACTGTCAGCTCGACGAAGTAACCCTTGTCGAATTCCAGTGCCCACCTGAAGAAGAATGGAGGATATTTGACAGTTACGCCCGCAGGGTGCGCAAGCTATATTCTGGGTCACATTTACATCAAATAGTGGCCCGCATACGCTCCAAAACCACTTTATTCCCTTTGCTACGATCTCTGTCTCTTCAGCTGCTCGAGCCCCTTGACATGCAAGGGCACCTCTTCTCAGACTCGCTACGCTCTCTGAAGATCTCAGGTCCTGCGTATGTGCATTGCAAAGATGCCCGAGTCCAAATTGCCATCGCGCATATAGCTCGGGATGCACCATTACTGGAATCCCTCCACGTTGAAGACTTCGCCTATTCGGTTGCCCAATCGTCACTGCCACCTCTCCACTTTGCTCATCTCCGAGCTGTCGAAATATCTGCATTTTTTGACCACAGTCTCCTGCAGTCTCTTTGTCGCATCCTTTCTCAAGCACCTGTGACACAACTCAAACTCGAACTTCCGGCGCTCCCAGATAAGGATTGGAGCATATCATTTCCTGTCTTCCCTGCCCTGAGATCGCTGCGCATTTGTGGCAATCCGGCTTCTGCGGAACATTTCATTTTCCATCTTGCCAGCAAGGGTATCCACGAGCTTAGTATCTACCACACAAGAGGACCCGCGAGTGCCGCGGATTGCCGCCGCCTTCTTTCACTCGTTGCGGAGAAATATGGGAATACTCTCCAAACGCTCTCGCTGGCACTCAGTCGGTCACCCACGCCGAACTACCCGTACGATCTTTCCCAAGCAGTTCTCGATGCTCTTCGCACGCTCGTACCAACTCTTAACCAACTAGAGACTCTCCACCTCTTGTTGCCACACAATCGCTACGTTCATTTACAAGAGTCTGAGCTCACATTTGAACCTCTTACATGGCCATCTCTCAAAAATCTTGACGTGCAAGCGACATAGAGTGTTTCATACGGAAGAACTGGCTGACTGCTCATGGACCGCCTGCTATATCTTAGAGGAGGTTATGTATGTCGTTGATCAGGTATTTAGGTTTCTGTCAATGCCAATGTGGAACCTGGGAAGACTGTGCTGCAGTGTGGGAGTGCTGATGAGCACTGAGAACGTTTGTGTCCGAGAGAAGGGCAAGGCAGGCTATTATGAGACGATAACACTGGCAGTGCATGATCCTGCTGACTATTTTCCATGCTAGATACGATGACAGAAGGTTTCCGGAAGGGCCCACGAGTTACTAGATCTAGAGTGACAAACTCTTGGTCTTCCGGCGAAACATGATTTCCACTTCCATGGATTATCTTCGCAGGAATCAGTAGACTATGACCAATGGGCAAGGATGGCGCTCTACCAAGAGGAAACACTCGCACCCATGAGAGAGTACGAGTATCAAAAAAACACCTGGTCTTGAATTGCCTAGGCTCAGATCCACAGTTATTTCTAGGATGCATCCCCACTTCTCGCCAACCCCAACCCATTCTCCTGACCAGTACGCGATAAGAGTTCGCCATGGCCTCAAGTTGTCGCGCTCTCTACATTTCCGAGATTCTCGCAGAAATCTCATGGCAGCTAGAGGATGACCGGAAGTCTCTTTCACATCTTGCGCGTTGTTGTAAGGCATTCTCAGACCCAGCCTTGGATGTACTTTGGAGGCGGATGAGCCTTTTCTCTCCCTTCATCCCCCTTTTACCCCCAAACGTTTTGACACTTTGGGTACGCGATACTCTTGGGCAGGTTGGTACCCGTATAATTTTAACGCGTTCTACAGGTCGAATGCCAGTTCAGCGCAGAGAGTCTCGCAGGATTCCAATGTCCCCCTATACATGAGTGGAAGGCTTTTGACGCCTATGCTAGGCGTGTGCGGATTTTGTACAGCGGCGCCTCGCACTTCCTCGCAGGTGTGACCACTATTCGAGCAGACTTCAACGTATTCCCCCTCCTGCGATCCATGTCGATGCAGCTTCAGGAAACCATACAACCTGGGATCCGGTTATTTCCTGAAACTCTGCAGACGCTCGAAATATCGGGCCCCGCTTACATCAACTGTAAAGATTCGTGTATCCAGACTGCTCTTGCGCACGCGGCGCGTGATGCACCCTTCCTGAAACATCTACACGTTGAGGACTACGGCTATAATAGCGACCGCTTGGACACACAACCCCTGCATTTTAAACACTTGCGAAGCCTCCAAATATCCGCATTCATCAGCTCCAACGTTCTCAAATCATTATGTTACATTCTTTCTCAATCGCCCGTGATCGAGCTCAAGATAGAGCTCCCTCCCACTAGCTGCATATGGAATGCCCCATACACCCTCTTCCCACATCTAGAAAGTCTGGAAATACATGGCACCCCCGCACTTGCAGAAGCGTTTATCACGAACGTTTCCAGTGCATGTGTGCGCTCGTTGACTGTCACGCACACTCGTGGGCCCGCACGAACTGCAGACTGCAGTCGTCTATTCTCTACCATCGTGAACAAGTACGGCACATCGCTGCAGTCGCTATCTCTCACGATCAGCCGCTCACCAGTCCTTCATAACCACGACGGTGTGGCGCATGATATAATGGATGCATTGTTTCCTTTGATGCCGAGATTAGAGCACTTAGAGGAACTTCATTTATCACTGCCCAGTGCCACCCAAGTGGACGACTACCCTGCTGTTGAAGTGTCTGGTTGGCCGGCTCTGAAGCGGATGGAGTTTATGGCCACATGATGATTCATGGGGTGATGGCGAGAAGCTTGGAAGTTAGTAGGATGGCTGGGCCATGCAGAAGATTTGTTCACATGTATTTCATTTGTGTATTGACTATCGGGATCGCACTGTAATAATATTCATGGGTCAGGTGTGGTGAGGGAAGCAAAATACTTTTGGGCACTCGTGAGGCGTTTAGCAGGAACGTACACAATGCGCAGTCATACGGAACGTGAAAGATCCCCAGTTGTTAAACAAATGGCAATCAAACTATGTGTATCGATGAAATAGCATACATCCGACCTCTACCAATCACCGTCGAATCCAACAAATCCTGAATAAGCAGTCAGTTATCAACGTTCATCAAGTTCGACAATGAGCATACCTGTGAGCAAAAACACAGGGAAATATCTCTTCTTTTCTAGTTGCGCACACCAATTCCAAGCGCTGGTCAGACGGCCATCGATACAACTTCCTGCATCAAAGAAGTTGTCGGCCCCAGAACCATCGAACCCGTGCTGGAAGAAATCGCACAGAATCTCGCGCATGCAATTATCTATTGAACCGAAGTCATCCTCAATGTAGGACCGTAGTGCAGGTTTATCCGCGAGGCTGGGTATCTGTGAGAGGGTATTGCAGATAGGCAGTAGGATCCGGTAAATCTGGGAATATTTGTCTGCGCATGGGATGTCTAAGAAAAGATGCGGAGGGCGTTGCGACAGTAACACGTACCGATGAACATGAGAGCGTTGGGCACGTTGTGGTCACCCATGTGGATTGCAGACGAGCCAACCCAGCTTCCCACACTTTGTTGCGCACGGTGCAGAATCGTGTGCATCATACGGAAGGTTTTGGGAGCCGCTTGCACACGATTTAGCCCCTGACCGGTATCCCGCAGCCGGTAAGGTACATTCTCCGCAAGCAAGTCCTGTTCAGCGAGTGACCATAATCGGAACATGTCTGTCGAACACATGGATTAGCAAGACAAATGCTACGTAACACATTCAATGACCAACCATGCAAGATCTCCCGCCATAACGTGAGACTCTGTAGGACATATGCATATTGTTTTGCATGATCGTGACTAAGTCGAGCGCCATGTTTGCCACTCCGTATCGCCAAGCTGGTCTTGTTGTCTTTTGATTGCGTTGGATGGAAGTGTTCTTTCAAATACATGATCATCTTTTCGCAGGGATCACGGTTCGTCCGCAAGAACGCGTGATTATCGCCGATGCTGTATATACATTGACGGACTTGCTCTTGACTTAGGTCCGAGCGCTGGTATTTTGAAGAGAGCGTCTCAATCGCACGCTCTTTGTTTTTGATATCTCGTTGGACTTCTCTTTTCGAGCGTCCGTCAGAATAGATTTCCTGCGTGGCGACCATGATGAGATCATCTCGCAATATATCGAGGGCATTGTGATCTTCAAGAACGTTGTACACAGATATGATGGGTTTGACGCAGGAAAAACTGAGCATGTCTCTAACGTCGGGGGACTGACTGTCCTATGAAGAGCAGTGTTTGCATAATCGATGATTCTGAAGGGCAGAACTTACCTGTAACAAATAGATCAATTTTCCATACGTCGTGCGCATTTTATCTGGGTTCATGATTTTATGTCTCCGACCGAGCTCAAAGATAGTCTGGTAGAACTCTGCGTTGGACCGAAAATCGCGATCTGTAAACAACTCCTGGCCCTGCTTGTAGTCTGCGGCAAGGACGAGCCCAGAAAGAATCGCACATAGCTCGCGAATCTGATGCACAATACGTTTTGGCTTCGAAAGTCCAGAGCCCAGCGTGTCGATCTTATCCGTGTACTCGGACACCTGAAGCGCGGCATCGAGGAGGCGTAGGAACTTGCGCTCGCTATATGTGAGTCGAAGAGGAATGAATTTTGAACGCTCGATGAACCATTCGCCGACTTTGGACCCAATCGTAGGCTGGGCGCCTAGTAGTTGGGTAGAGACGGGAGCTTTGGATGTTTCAGCTGCTATACGGTCAAGTTCCCCATCAGAGTCATCCATATCAACATCATCTTCATGCTGAGCACAGAAGTAATTATCAGATCTACCACAACTAAGCCGAAGAAAAGTCCGCACCTCCTCCCCATTTTTCTTTGCATCCCCCGCCGCACCATTATGCACCGACTTCGACTTTGCGCCACTTGCGAGTGGTTTTGCAACGTGCTTCTTCCTCGACCCCTTCCGATGCTGCGCTGCAAAGCAGACTTCACAGTAATTATCTGCGCATGTGTCGCACAGAACTTGAGCAGGCTGATCTATACACTCAGTGAGCTCCCCGATCCGCATAATCACTTCCTATAGACACACACCTTCGCATTCGACACAGAACCCGTCCGCAGCAGACCTATTGGCTGATTCTTCATCCCATCCCTCGCCGGTGCCAGTAGTGCCAACTGAATCTTTTTCTTGAAGTCGTGGGTGTTCGACTTGTTCGTGATTTCTTCCGAGGATGTTTTCTAGGGTAAATTTTCCGCTCATGGGTTCGGCTGGTTGTGAGGTGCCTTCTATAGAGGCTGAGGATGTGTGTACGGTCATTATTTCTAGGACTATGACATCTATCTGCTCAAGACTTGCGACTGGGTAAGAAATGATGAGAAACGAGCAAGGAACGCGTGTATAGAGGGTAGATAGAATTTTAATTTAGCAATAGGCTGTGACCTGACGTAAGGATACACGCGTAAAACATGCTTTTGCAATGCGTCAGTCCAAAGTTAAATTGTGTATCTGTGAGCAAAGGCTCTAAGTAGTATTACCCCGTGAATTTATGGTACAAATGGTAGTGCAGCGAAATAGAAATCATACAGAATGTGGGATGATGACAGTAGAAACCAATGTTCGAATTCACAAGCTCCCAAGTGTATTGCGCCAAACCTTATTGACTATACCCTTGGTCTGTTCTATCCGTGTGGCAGTTCGCTCCTCATCTCCCACTCGCCCGGTGGAATCCTCTTTTTCCCGCGCGTTGCGCTCCGCATCACCCTGATGCGATTGAACAGACTGCACACGAGGTGGATCAGGGGAGTTGATTGCTGGCATATGGGACGTACGAAACTCGAGTGGAGGTGGCGGCGAGCGCTTGTACTTGTGCCGAGAACGGGAGCTGTGAGATGACGAACTCTCGATGCTACTTGGAGGATAATCATGCGGAGCGAGAGGAGACGAGCTAGTAGACTGGGCTATCGTTAATGGAGAGGTGTTTCCGCTATATTTTCCCTTGCCGTCCTCAGATGCAACTACCGTTTTCGCGTCGTCTTCAGTCGGCATCCTTGAGTAGGTGGGTCGAGGATTCTCTATGTCGCAACGGACCTCGTCCTCGTCGTCTTCTGGTGCACGAAAGAGCGGTTCTCGATCTTGCGCGTCAGATGTACGAGGTGAATTGGTAGGAAGATCGACAGAGCTTGAAGAAGCTTTGACAATGGAATCAATAAGCCAGAATTGAAGGATGTTCATGATGATAGGGAAGAGACCCATAACGCTACGAAAGCAGTATAAGATCGTTATAAAAATGGGGAAAAGAAAACACACAAAATCACTTGAAAGGCGTCGCCGTTACCAATAGCAGTCCAACTGAGCAACCAGTCTCCCACCTTGGATATTCCCGGCCACACTGCAAACGATCCGACAACAAGCATTTTCATCGTCGTCAGCGCAAAAACGTAGACTACGGCTTGACGGGTCCAATGAGCCATTGAGGGTGGTGAACCATACTGCCCGGACTCGTAGCCTTTGAGGTGTAGTCTCTTTACCAAGAGGTATGTGAGACCATGGTGGACGATGTATATTATAGCAACACCTATAGTAAGCATGAGCTTCAAATGTAAGAGTGAGAGTCCATTGATATTCACCGAGAGTGGTATCGACGAGGACATTGAGAAAGTAGTAAGTGCAGGCGTTACCGGAAGTATGATGTGAACCAAGGTCGGATATCAGAACATTGACTCCGTGTACAAACATCTGTCCAACAATTTGCTTGGACACATCGAAGAGCCTGCATGATTGCAGAGTTTCAGTGGTCTGACTACAGTGCGGTAAGACTCGAGGACGAACCATATTCTCCAAGGTCGTTTATGTGGCTCACGATGCCTCTTATACACCAGAGAAAGTATTACGAGCACACCCATGAGCGCTTGGACAACCTGATCGACGATGTGACATATGAACCTCTCCTGTACCGTGGTCTACGAAAGAATTTTTAACATACCAAGGCAGTCGGACCAAGGAGTTGGCATGAACGTCGATCAAGAGGAAAATCATCTCCGGCGAGGCGCGGAAAAGAAAACATGATTGAAAACAAGGATTACAACTGCTCGCATAAACAGTTTTTCGGTTGTGCGAACTCTTGGACGTTATGCTCTAAGACAGCCTGCAATTGCAACTCGGATCCGCAATGAGTTCATTCCTATTTTGGAAATTCCACTCGGTGAGAACAAAACCTGAGCTTCACAAGTATGTACCAATTTTTCCAACGAGAGCATATGCTTCTGCGTAGCATATACTAGGACTGTAAATATACCGTATAATATAGTCATCTAAGTTCCATCCAGCTAGCTAAGCTACTCAGCTCAATGTCGATCATAAAATCACTTATGTAATCAGGGTCTCGATAATGCTGACCTATCAAAAATCTACTCAACCCGAACTATCCACAGCCTATTTATGTGAAAAGAGAGAGGCAGCCATATGCGCCGGGTGGTGCGTTCTTTCGATATGGATTTCTGATGACTGCACCACGCACCACAAGGTAGACGGATGCGGAGGGGAAGAATAGGACTGTTATTATAACCGGTCTTTACCCATGGTTGGAATACTTTGAAGTTCGAACTGCACACATTTCATCGAATCTGTGTTCCATTGGCTTCTATTCTCTCATGACGCGGTGATATTCTTCCTTCGCTCCTTTATTCTGTCTCCACGTTGAACCACGGACGAGGACAGGAAATATTACCTCGTCGACGTTTGGCCGCACTTCGAAAGATACCAATGCGCTCGATGCAGATATCAAAAATGAATGGCTCCGTATGCTCAGAATTCATTTGCTCATCAACTACAGTTTCATGGCCAGCCTATTTCCAGCGTATTTTGGTGCTCCATACAATCCAGACCTTCTGGGCTCAGGGCGTGCCATTGACAGGATATGCGGATGTCCCTTCTGGACTTTATTACGCGCCATAACAGTGCAAAAAAAACTCCTAGGACGACTGTTTAACAATGAAGGGCTTCTGGAGTCGATGATGTTGATGAGCGAATGTTAGCTGTAAGTTTCCCTTACCATTCAGTATATCTCTTATCTTTCTGGGCCAGAAAAGTTATCCCTTGCAACTGGTACTATTTTGCTATCCTGCGACCAGATATACAGGCAATGAAACGGGAGGTCACTTGTAAGCTCTCGGTAGGGTGGCACGGGCACATAATTGCTCGAATCGACCAATGTCTGGAAGATGGCGAATTCATTCATCTTGTATGGTCGGAAACAGGAAGTAACGGTCAGTTCTATTTTGTGGTTGAATTTATGACAAGATGTTACAATGTATCAAGCACGAAACCAAAAGAAGGTGAGTACTCACAAAGATCGCAGTGAGAATATTCTTGCCCGTGACGCTTGGAGTCGTGCTGCTGGTGAGCTCTCCATTAAATCGTAGGTTTAGAAGGTGATGTCAAAGGTGTACATCAGTGCTTTGGCCGGGCTTATAGCGTCCACCTCACGTAAGTTTGTTTTTGTTACTGTTGTGGACTAGTTTATCGACCCTGTTCCTCTCAAAGCACCTCTAAAAGCACCGATATGAGTCACGGAGATCTGGTGGATCACGCCACTCATGAAGGGGTCCACAATTACACAACCGCTCGCTGAGCCACAAAATGTATTGTGGGGCTGTCCATCGGATTGTTCGCCCCAATAAATCCACAGCGTGCGTCTCGTCTTTGTATTGCAAATTTGACGAGAACGAAAGACCACCATCCGTTTTGGCGAATAATGGTGGTCCACAAGAAATTGTCCACGAAAGTAAGGTCTCCTCAGTACAAGGGCACTTTCAAAGTGGCCCTCGCCGCACATATAAATATCGCACCGTTGGCCTTCATTTCCTTACCCACTAATCTCTACTCCTACCTGCCACTGCAAACACGTGCACACTCTCACTGTCAAGTCATTATCTGCTGCCCGCTGCGTTTATCCCCATCTTCATCACCTACGTTTTCTAACTGCATCTACTTCTTATCCTCCAGATGGACCCACGCAACCCTTCTCATCCCTCCTCGTTGTACAATGCCAATTTCCCCAGTGCAGCTCCCCTGCCCATTGGAAACGCCAACGGATTCATGCCGAATCCAATGTATGTGGGTCGAATGCCTTGGCCCCAGCCCCGCATACGTTCCTCAACCCGGCAATGCCCCAGCGCAAGCCAACAACCCCTACGGTTTTCCGCTCAACATGGTGCGCGCCGCTGCTGGAGCTGCCCAAAATTCGTTCCAAGCCGCATACAATCCTCCCCCGCTAATCAACATCGGGCATGCCACACACGTTCAGTTTTTTATTAATACCTATCCATTGCAACCTCCAGCTGCTGTTCCCCCACAGCGTCCACCCGTGCCTCTTCAACCCCCCGGCCCCTCAGAAGCTTGCACCGCAGTTCCGCCCCCTTACTCGGCTCAGGGGTTTCCCCAGGAGAACAAGCCTCCACCCGTATCGCAGAATGCATACCAGCACCACGGTGCTGGGCCCGCAGTGGGCTTTGCTGCCGCCTCTCTACCCCAAGTAAATGCTTCGTCGGCGTCGACCGGTCAAGAGCACCTCGGGGAAGACTGTGAGGAGTACAAACCAAGGAAGGCAGCCAAGCGCTATGACATATCGCGGGACATGGATTTTGTAAGCTTCCTTTTCACCTTGTGAGGCTGAATTCTTATTTCGGAGATAGCTCCCCCTGAAAGAGGTAGACAAACACGGCAATCAGCTATTCCATTGTCTTAGGGAGAAGTGTGGCACAGTAATCATTGCTGACAGTTATCGGAGCCACTTCAACTCGACCAAGCACCAAGGTGTCAAATCAGGGAGATTTGCCTGCCCTTATTGTCCCAAGACGTGGGTATCCCCTCTCTCAAATAAACGCGTCTCATGAGAGTTGTGATCAGGTTCAGCAGGAGAGATGCCTCTGACGAGGCACTGGGCAGATTCGCCCTGTACAAGGCAACGCCTAGAGCTAGAGACGGGCGCGCAGCCACCATCCTCAGCTACTAGTGAAGGTTCAACGAGGTCAACGAGTTCGGCTTCGCCTGCGGCAGCACCCACTGTGCCTCTCACTTTCCTCGCGCCCGCAACCCCCGCGTCAATGTCCATTGGATCAACGACATCTAATGTCACAGATAACGTGCAAATCCCACCCCAAGCAGACGAGGTTGCGCAGTCGCAGGGCATGGCCGTTATTGCGGACCCCTTACTTCCCTGTTCCTGCGTCGTCTGAATCACCAGAGACTGCTGGCGAAACCCCCGCCGCCGAAGAGCTCTCCGCTCTCTTGGAAGGTTTAAAGCCGGAGGTGGCGGCTCTGTTAACGCAGCGGATTCTTGACCAACATTCGTCTGAAGAAGCCCCCAAGAACTAGCATGTTTCTCCTTCTGTTCCTCGTCAACGATGAGATTGGCGTTCGTTCATATTTCACTTGGGTTACCCGCTATCCGCTTTATGTTTTGCTGTGGGCTGTCGACTCATCATGTATAGTAACACTCCACAAACTGCACGCGTTCACTTCGTTCCATGACATAGGCATTACTGACGTTGACCCACTACCTTTAGATAGTGGGTCTTGTGTCGTCGCTTATTTTTCGTTTTATGTGGCATAACGCACCACTTGCGCTGCGCGTACTACTCTTCGTTCTTCATTATTATGGCAATCTATGGGTTATCATATACGCATTCATCATGCACGCCGCCAGAATGAATTACAGCAGTGTGCGAAACTACTATCCCTTCCGGTGCAATCGGCACCCCACAGAAGTCGGCAGTCACGCTTTTTCACAGGTTTCGTGTGAGGGAATGTAATTTTCCGTGACCAATTGTAACAAAAGTATCACGGTTTCGCGCTAAAATGTGTGACCTGCCGACTTCTGTGGACGAAAGAAACCCAATTCGAAAAAACCCAATTCGAAAAAGGCGACAATCAAAATCCCGGCCAGACCTGAGCTCAAAACTGCAGTTGCAAACATCTTCCAAAACAAAATCATGGAACTCTTGTGCGTCAAGTGAACCTTCAACAGCACATGTTGCGAGATGGCCGTCTATGGTTATGGCAGCGCATAGCGAGTAGCGGTCTCCTCGAACAAAGACGTCACAAAGCTGTGCACGTTGTCCGTAGTGTGATCGTCCGTAATGGCGCACATAAGTACGCTCGTTCTTACTAGTTTCATCAAGGACAACAAACTCCGAGCCGTCGCCGACAAAGTCATTCTGAAGACTATCTTTGAACTCCTCTCGACGGACATCATCGCGTTCAGACGCAATTTTCCGGAGCATCTTTCGAGAAAAGACAACTTATTTGAGATTGCGAGATAAGGATGATGAGCTAAAGCCTGATGGTGATGTTGTGCTCGACTGCAAGCCAGGTGCAAATTTCGTCGAGGAACAGATCTGATTCTTCAGCAAAGAGGTGTCCTTTCACTTGCACGCGTAACAAAGACTGCGAAAAAGCCCCCCGAATGAGAGGAGATGCGTGAGTATGAGTGGTTTGCGTCCTGGATTTAACCACATGACCCACCGGCGTGGTGGATACTGAATTTATGCTATGTCATGGTAGGTCATATTTCTGCTTTCACATCGGTGTAGTATGGTTGATGCGACGACGCGTGTGTTAGTAGTAGTTTGTTGCTGAGTTGATCGGCGTGTTTGCTCCTGAATAAATTTTACTGCCGCTCGGGCAATGGAGATCTTAGAATAGGGGAAATCTCAAACACAGAATAGGACTGAAGTACTTACGACGCA